AAATCGAGTCGTAACAGCTCCTGAATCTGCGCCTTAAGCTCCTGCAACTCCTTAGGCTCCATACGGTACGGGGCTTTGGATATCGGACCGACCCTTGGAATAAGGTCTATAGAGAACTCCACCTGCCGATTAGGCGGTCCTCCTGGGAGCTCGTCTGGGAATACGTCCACAAACTCTCGAACGACTGGAACATCGTGATGTGAACGCGCTTTCTGAGAATCGTCAACAAGGCTCACTAGATAACCCTGGTAGTTGCCTCGTCGCAGCAACTTAGTGGCTTTCGCCATCGAAACAACATGAGGCAAAGAACGGTTTCTGGAGTTGAAGAAAGTAATCGACTCGTCTTTCGGAAGATAAAGAGTAATCTCCCGGTCATGACATTTGATATCCGCATGATAAAAGGATAGCCAATCCATTCCAAGAATAAGATCAAAGTCCTTCATTTCGAGAACAAACGCGTCGGCAGACAATACTCGGCCACCGATGGAAAGGCTAAGATTTGAAGCTTTAGTTGAAGTCACTATCTTTCTTCCTGAGGCCAAACTCAACTCAAGAGGGTCGATAGCGGTAGTAGCGTGAACTCCGATGGCGTCAAGGCATCGTCGTGAAATGAAAGTATGTGTCGCTCCGGTATCAAATAAAGCAAACACAGGAACATTATTAAGAACAACCATTCCGGACATGGTACCTGGTTGCTGCTCGGCCTCTGCCTGATCGATGGCTTAAACTCTGGCCTGCTGTCTGCCCCTCTGTTGCTGCTGCGGAGGCTGCCTCTGTGCCTGCTGACGGGGCTGCTGCTGCTGCGGTGGCTGTTGAGGCTGCTGAGGCTGCTGCGCCTTTTTCGGACAACGGTTTGCGAAGTGTCCGGGCTCGTGACAATAGTAGCACACATCCTGACCAAAGCGACACTCGCCTCGGTGAAGTCGTCCGCATGTCGGGCACTGGGGGATCTGCTGTAACCTCCGTCGGGCCCTCTTATCTGCCGGGGCACCTTTTCCTTTCCTCTTGTTGTTCTTTGGCGGCTGGGTAGATGGTAAAGCTGGCAACGGTGGAACCGAAGACGACTGGGCAGGGGCGGATGGCTGGAACTGCTCACGAACGGCCTCCCTCCTAATGCTGGCATCCACCTCCTGGGCAATGGAGACTGCACGTGCGTACGTCCGTGTCCCGTGGCCTACGATGTTATGACGGACTGCTGGGTAAAGCCCGTCAATGAAACGCTGCGCTCGTTGGGCCTCCGTGCGGACCAAATCAGGAACAAAAGCTGCAAGTCTCGTGAACTCCCTCTCGTACTCGTCAACAGTACGAGTACCCTGCTGGAGCAATAAAAACTGACGCTCCATCTCGGCTCGGTAATATGTGGGGTAGTACTTCTTGCGGATTAACTTCTTACACATCTCCCACGTACAACCCGCCTTTTCGCCGGGACGCATGCTCCAGTAGGCGTTCCACCAGAGCCTGGCATCACCGGTGAGCTGAAGCTGAGCGCAAATGACGCGATATCTCTAAGGGCACTCCATGACCTCGAAGATAAACTCCAAGCCCTGAATCCACTCGTCAACTATACGAGGATCTCCCTGCCCTGAGAACTTTTGGGCATGATAGTCGCGGAACTGCGCGACCACTGTAGCCTGAGTAGGAACTGGATGATCGGGTTCCCTACGTGGTGGCATCTGAACATTGAGAAAGTTCAAAATTATTGAACACATGATGATATTCTAACTGATTACTGAGGCACACAAATCTCTTGACGAGTAGCCAAAAATGGCCGATAAATACTGACATGAAACCTGAGGAACTCTAGAGTCATATCGAAAGATACTAAAGTCTAGAGTTATATCTGAGTGTACTGATTTCTAAAGTCAGGTCTGAATCTACTGAATTCTAGAGTTATATCTGAACTCTAAAGTCTGAACCTGAATCGAGCATCTTAACTAAATCTGATTACTGATTTCTGAGCATAGACAAAGTAATATGTTTATAACTGAAAAACTGAATCAGCACTTACCTGGAGTCGGCGAGGCGTGAGCGTGACGGTTCAGGTTTTTCTGAAAAACTGACTGAAAAACTTTTCAGAGACGCAGAAACGTGCTCTGATACCAATTGTAACACCCCAACTTTTTAATACTATCAGAATACGCTATTTTTCACAAATTTTCTGAATAAAATATAAAACATTAATTTTTGCGAAAACTGATTCGGAATGCTACCGTGAAAAACTTGCTTTTTCTGAAAACCGTTAAAATTTTAAACTGATAAATAAAACGGTTTAATGTCTTATCCGACTAACGTCGGAACAAAAACTGATAACAAGTACTGAAAGTTTTAGCGGAAGTTAAGCGTGGCAAAAACATATATAAATATGATAACAAATGTCCTGAACAGCCCGCCCGCTCACTCTTCGTCTCCGAACCTGCGACCTGAAAAACATGAAAAGCGTGGGGCGTGAGCACTAAAACACTTGTGCT